GGCTTTCTGGAGATAGAATTAAGAACAGTGTTCTGAGTCTGCCTTTACAATTTTGAAGCAGCGCCCAAAATACATTATTAAACCTATGTCCTGAAGTGCTTTCCCCAGCTTCCCGTTTTTTTGGTCTCATGCCTTAAACACTGTCCGTACACTATGTTCAAAACAAGCAGACTTATGATGTCCTCATCATTAGTCATAATCAGGGGCAAGTCTAAGGTTAACTTCGAGGGGGAGGAAGGAAGTAGGCAAGAAAAAATGTAATTTGCTTTCTGATCCTTTGGATTATTCTCCTTAAATTAGAGACCTCTTCCTCCCCTCCGCATGGGGAGATCGGTTGCCTAGCTCTTGAGTTTTTGTTACATTTCCTGTTGTATTTCTAAATCTCAAAGAGATGCACCCCTCTTCCCTTGTCCTTGTCTGAAACTTGGACAGTAACCATGGAACAGTTCATCAGAACTTGTGATGAGAGGAGATGGAAGGGCATATGTATTTGACATTGGGATGAAGACGTTGTGAAAATTCTTTAACCTGGCAGAGAGCCTGGTCCTGCCTAGCTGTTGGTTGGCCAAACTTCTTGCCCTACAAAGGCCACAGATGGCAGCAAAGTCGTGCCAAATGCAGTTCCCTCTCTGCAGCCGCTTTTCATGGGCTCAGATTTGTTGGATGACTTTAGAGGCCTGTCAAGAGAGCAGGTAATTCACCTTTGCTCTGTTGCCTCCCTCCTTAACCATACTTTCCCTAAGTCATGGAGTTTTTTTGTTTTTTGTTTTTTTTTTTGAAAATTTGACCAGACTATTTGCTTGCCCAGCATCTTTCCCGTTCCTTCTGTAGAGATACTATTCATCTGTGCTGGAGGAAGGAGGGGCGGTCCACGTCTCTCGGTATCACAGAGGGAAGTCGGGGCTGCACTGGTGCTGGGACAGTGGGGACGGCCAGGTATGTATCCTCAGCTGTCCGCGCTGTGCCCTCAGCTCCCCTCCCTCTCTTTTAACAGAATTCTTTTCCTAGAGCATTAGGAAATAAACTGTTAGTATTAGTAACAGGCAATTACAGGCCTCTCCCTACAAACTTATCTGTCTTTTACCACCTGTTCTGGGGAAGCCCAAGATTTTACTTGTTGAACTGATGCACTAGGAATTCATTGTTGTTTTTGAAGAGAGTAGGCGTGTTATTTTGTTTTGTTTTTCCCTTTTTACACGCCCCCTAGTTATACTCAAAGATAGCAAACTTAAGTTCAGAGTCTAATCCACAAGTTGGATTCCTGACTTCTCCGGCCTATGGGTCTAGGGAAAGGATGGGAGAGTGGCCGCAGGGATGTGAATGAGGGCTGGGTGCACACTGGAAGGTCCCTCCTGTTTTCCTGGCCTGGGATGTATGGAGCAACGCCAGAGCCCAAAGCCTGCGTTCCCTTTTCTGGCCTGACCCCAAGGGGGTTACATGTGGTAAGAGTCATTCCTGCCCTCCCATTCCTTCCTATAAAGTGTAAGTTGGTGTCTCTAAAGGGAATTCTGCTTTTCCCCGCTAGTACCTGGACTCCTGGGAGAAGCACAGAAGAGAATTCTGTTTTCTGAGAGCCTGTTGAGTGTCAGTCACTCTTGAACTTTAAATCCCCAATCTCGTATCACCATGTTGTAGACTCGGAAACTAAGGCCTAGGGAACTTAATTTGCCCTTTTCAGTAAAGCAAGAGATAGGATTCAAATTCAGGTCTGTTTGACTCCAAAGGCCATGGAAATATAAAAAGTCATCACGGTAAACCTCTGACTACAAATACCTCACAGAATTCACTAAAAGCCTTAACAACTTAGGAGACAACTTAGAAGAAACCGACAGAACAATTATTAGTTCCTAATAAACTAAGGGAAAGTTTTTCTTTATAATCCAGAAGTCAAAGTCTGGGCGCTAATCAGTGTTTCTTGTCTCTTCAGAGAAAAGACACCTCCGTTGGTCTTGGAGTTATCTCTCACGTGTCAGCAGCGTCCCAGCCTGTGAGTACAGATCTCGTTCTGGGTTTCACCACCAGTGCCATTCCATGAACCAGTTGAGCCAGTTCTAGGGTCCTTTGTCCCAGATCCACGGTATTTTTATGTTGAGATGTTTCACTCTTGAGAGAGTACAGCATTTGGATTCAGTGTAAAATTATGTTTTCTCATATCCTTCCTTCACTTGAAGCTTAAGGGATACTTTTTGTGCCTGAACTCATAGTTGTGGTTGGAAAGAATGTGAAGTATTCACATCGCAGTTCCTACAGCTCAGCTGGGCTGACACTGGGTTCTGCTGGAATTTCACCATCTGTTCAAGCAGCAGGAGGGGCCTGACCCTCCTGCTTACAAAGTGAAAACCATTGCTGAAATTCAGAAACATGTAAATTTGGTTAGATCGAGTTCCAGAACATTTGAAAGGATTTGTCCTCATTTTCCACAAATGTTTCTCTGTTAAAAACACAGTGATGAGGTTTTTTTTCATTTAGGATAAAGAAGTACTCATTAGTTCATGAACCCAGGGAATTTTTGGGAACTTGGAAGGGCTGGAATTCGGAGGAAAGGAACTCCAGCATGTTTCTGCAATAGTTGGCTTAATCTTTGTTTGTATACAGTGCACTACTAGCCAGGACCCAGAATATACTGGAGTTAATAACAACTAAGAATGTTCTGCTTCTGGTACATAAGTTAGGTCAAGATGCCTCCCATACCTGCTGGATTTTGGTGATGCTAATCTTCCTGATATTCATGGTATTGGAATCACAGATGCCAATCTTATCCCCCGTGTTTCCTCTTATGCAGACAAATGAAGTATCCTTGGCTTTCTGCAATTCTGATACGGCTGTATTTTCTGAAATCTACCTTTGTGTACTTACGTAGTTGAAGACCAATAAATAGTTTTGGCATAGTCATTTACATTCATGTCAGTTAAATGATAAGGAGACCAAATTTGCAATAACTGGGCATGAAAGGATAGAACATAAAGCAGCTTTGGAAAAAGTTGGCTTTAAATCTGCAAGGTGGAAGGCAGGGAGGAAGTTCATAAAAGTGTAAATATTACCATTTATTCCTCCCGGTGGAGTTTGCTGGCCAGTAATTTGTTGTTGTCCCCCGGGTGTAGTGGCAGAGATGACACTGCTGCCTGGAGGAGCAAGCATGGAGGAAGCACGTGGGAGGGGCGGCGGGTCCCCAGCTGTGGGGTAGCAGCTTTGGCTCTTAATTACAGGCTCTTTTCTGGTTTGCAACTTCTCTGTCTGCCTTTTGAACGGAGACCCCTCCTCTGCCTGCACTTCCACCCACTTCCCAGCCATGTGTCAAGTCTGTCCTTGGAAGACAGTCAGTGCTCAGCACAGCTTTAAACACAGATCTTTCCGTTAACTCCAGCTTCCAGTGTTTTGTATTATAGGAGAACCAGTCCTCCAAGGGAGACTCTGGCCAGCCCGCAGACTTGCTGCATGACGAAATGGAATCTATTCATAGTGTGCTCAGCTTTTGGAGAAAAGAACATTTCATCTTCATCATGAACGTAGCAAACAAAGCACAGTTGAAAAGACTCATTATTCCATGGCGCCTTGTTGCTACTGCTGGTCCGCGCTAACAGGTGCCACTGTCTGCTTGAGAGCCCCAAAACAATGATCATTCGCCTTGCCCTCTACCAAGTGACTCTCTTTCTACCACGATTAGGAGTGTCCCTTTTATGACCCTTCATATTCGTATAGGTTTCTAGCACTTGCCAAGTGTTTTCACATACATGCTTATTTGTGAAGTAGGTATTACCACAGCTTTAGAAATAAGGAAACAAGCACAAGGAGGGGCTGAGACTTACCTAATGACATTCCTATTGTCTGGCCAGGCTGAGCCTTGAAAGCAGGACCTCCGTCTCCAGCCCAGTGCTTCATCCCACTGCGCCCCTGGCACCCAGAGGTAGCCTGCTGGCGTCGTGACCTACAGTCTCTCAATGGCTAATACCTGTTTTTCCTTGCAGGCTGAGAACACCTCTAAGGACCTCTACATAGAAGTATATCCAGGGACCTATTCTGTCACTGTGGGTACAAATGACTTAACCAAGACTCAGGTGGTAGCAGTCGGCTCGGGACAAAGTGTGGACTTGGTCTTCCCTGTATGACGTGGACCATCGTGGCTATCCCATCACCTTTTTTTTAAGTAGCTAGAAGAATAAAGTCACCATATTATTCTTTACATATTTACCCAGTGATCCTACTTTCAGGGCTGACTGTAGAGGGTCAGCCTTCCTGGGAATTGGAGTTTGTCTCTTTCAGTGCCTATTTTAACTTAAACGTCTAGAAGCACCCCCACCCCCACTTTCTGCTGAAAGTCATACTGTAATGATGCTGTCTCAGTAGTTTTTAACTGCTTACTTTCCAGGTGAAGGTTACTTTTGATAATAAAGGGAGCGATTTTGGAAATGAGTTCCTTTTTATTGGGGCATGAAGAGGTGAAACAGTGTTGCTCATGGACAGCTGTAGGTTTATGAGAAGGCGACAGGCTGTGGATGTGTTTGCCTGGAGCCCCCCCGCCCCCCCACCCCCAGCAGGGAGTCCTGGCCAGGACCACCGGGCTCCTGTGCCCCTCAGGGCAGGTGCCTTCACAACGCTCATCTGCAGGCAAGTCTAGCGTGTGAGAATGCCACTGCTTGTGCGCCCAGCACGTGTGGCCTGCGCTCTGTCCCCAGCCGTCACAGGACAACTTGGCAGCCACTCGGTAGCGCCTCCTCAGGTAGTTACAACCACTGCTCTTTTAGCTTCCTATAAGAAAAAAAAAAAATCCCGAGAGTCTGATGCTGACTGTAATTTTAAGTATCAAAAGTCACTGATCTTAAAAAGTCGTGATGTGCCCTGAACTCCTTGAAGCTACTGGGCCAACAGCAGAGCTGCCTTTGGCCAGTTTGGTTGCCTGGTAGTTCATCTCATTCTGAACGTGACAAGTCTTTCCTCAGGACAAACGCCAGCGTTTTATATGATTAAGGCCAAGTTTTAAGTAGGGCTGTGTTAGTGTTCCTAGTGAGGAATGGACTCCCATGGACAGAGGGCCTAGTCAGGCAGACCCATGCCCATCACCGTAGGGTCAAGAGTGTCACTTAAGTGGAATCCTTACCTCCATAAGAAGCCTGTGATCAGCTTTGTGGGTTCTGTAAGCCTTCTGAAATGGAATGCAAAATCGTGGGTATGTGCATTTTCCTGGGAAAAGACAGCATGGGAGTTCTCATTCTCAAAAGGGGCATGAAGAACCACATGAGGAGTCCTTAGGAGCCCCTTCCCAGCCATCCTGCTTTACCTGGCTCCTCGGGGCTTTCAGTCTGAGGGCATTTTGGTCCCTCTGGTGGGTCGCTGTTCCCGGACTCCATTCTCTGTGTTCACCGTCCTCTGGCAGGATCTGTGGTGGCTTCACGCCGCTTGCTTCCAGGACCAGCTCCTTCGTATTCCCCAGCACTACACTCTGTACCCTTTGTTGTTTGTTGCCCCTCTTTTCTCTCCAGATGGTTCCATGTCTTGTTCCTAAACCCCAAATTCAGTGAGTTACGTTGCATGTGCCACCATGGGATTGGTCCTGATGACTGAAGTGGAACTATGTTAGGATGCCAGAATCTAACTGTAAGTTCCTACCACTGCTCTCTTTAAAGAGAAAGTTTGTTAGTCATTTCTGGCCATTACACTTTTTGGATAGGTTTTATCTGATAACCACTTTTGGAATTAGATGGGAGAAGGTATCAGACACGACTTTCAGAACAGCCAGCAGGGGAAGCAAAGGTGGCCAACTGCCATCTGTCAAAGGAGCTTATAAATCACACTGATCACAAAGAAGAGGTAGTGAGCTGGGGGGGGGCGGGGGGGCAAGGTTTTAAGAGGTTGGGTGTGAGGCAAAAATAAAATAATGGGAGATGTGACTCCCTGGGGAGTAGGAAAAGAATCTGAAAAGGAAGGACTACTTTACAGGAATCCATCCTCTTGCAGGCTTTTAAAACTACAGATTAAATCCTGTTTCAGTCATAAGCTCAGGAGGAGAGCAAAGTAACTGCGGGCAGCCAGCAACCTGGCCTTCCTAGAATTGTTAGGTTGGGATCAAACGGGAACTTGGGAAGTAACAAGAAGCATGGAGGGCAGAGGGAACCACACAAGAGGATTGTCATGAGGCAGAGCCTAAGGCTGACCGTCAGGCATCAGTACTTGACTGAAGGCCGTCAAGCACAATTAGGAGAAACAAAGCAGCATGTTTCCCTAAAAGCAACAAAATCTGGAGGGGGAGAAAAGGAAAGTTCTGGTGTTTGCTATTGTTTCCGGTGCTGGTGCACACCCGGTTTTCTGCACTTCATCCTCACTAGTCACTTGTGGCACACAATGCCTCCCTGCCCCCGTGACAAGGGCCAGGGATGGCCCTTTTCTCCACACTCCGACACAAGTATATTCTCCATAGCTTTGCACACAGGCTTGGGACCTGGCAGAGGGTAGGTCCAAGGATCCTCATGGTTCAGCTCTAAGAATTAACCTTTGCCTGGGTCATGACAAATGATCTTAGTAGTACCTAAGGGAAAACCAGACCAAGTACGTGAAGGTACCATATTTATCTTCTTTACGGACAATTACTAGAATTTTTGGCAGGGCAGGGGGGAAACAAAACTTTAGAGTGGATCTGTTGAAATGTGGTGGGAAGAGAGACTGAATGTGGGTGGCTGGGCAGTGGAGGGAGACGAGCAGTGTGTGCTTAGGGAAAAGAGGTGTGGACTTAACCAGGTTTGAAACCAGTCCAGATGGAATGCTGGGGAGCCAAGCTACAGTACTGGGAACGCAGAGCTGGTGTCTGAAACCTGTGTGAGCACCATGGCCCCTCTGGTTACCCCTCTGGCATCCCCCCCTGAGGCCGAGCCTGGTGCTTCTCTGTTGCTCCCTACAGACTCCTGTCTGTGGGGTAGGTACCGCTTTTCTTTCCCCAGTCTGCTGAAACAGGAGGCAGTGGAAGCTATGGCGAATTTAGCATGGTATCTCTAGGCTTGGGCACCATTTTCTTGATAGTATCACCTGTAGGGCAGGTGTATCTGAGAGGAACAGTTGTTTCCTAGTAGCTTCTGCCAGCACCTCCCACAGCCTCTCGCCATGAGATCCATGACCGTCTCCCAGAAGCCCAAGATCCTGCCCAGCTTGGTATTTTCAATACAAAGGCTCCTCTCTGAGAGGGGAGGAGGAGCTCAGCTGCACACAGCTGACTTCTTGTTCCTCCAGTTCTCTCCGTGGGGCAGGGGGAGAATCCCACACCTGGAAAGCCAAGGAAGGTCTGGAACACCTATAAAGTACAAGAGCAGCCAACTTATGCCGTTCCCACCCGTCCACCCCCATGCCCCACCAAAGCCCAGGGGTCCAGGAGTCACCAAGACGGTCTCTCGGTGTAGAAATAATTTCTCAACTTTCTGGAACTGAAGACCAACAAAGTTCTTACCCCTGGGGCAAGAGTGAAATCCTCGTGGCTAAGAGGTCCCTCAGCTGAGCAGCTGTCCTGGAAAGAGGCCAGTGGCTTCAAACAGGGACCCACAGCGGGTCCCAGTGTGGGTGGTGTCTGGAGATCGTTAAGCCCTTAGCAGTGGTACTCTAACCATACAGCCTCCCTGCCCCAAACTGAAGGTTCATTTAGTTCACTCTATGTTCGGTTAGTGACCCCAGGGCCCCAGGAATCTAGTCTAGGGCTGGGCTTATCCCAGCTGCCTCTGCCTGCTGACTTGGGCTTCTGCTCTGTCCAGGCCCTGCTGGGAATTTAGATAGGACAGGCATGAGGCATGTCAGTGATACACGGCTTCTAAACCTGAGGGCGTCACGGGGTTCTTAGCTCAAGGTGAAGATGGGGATGGCTGTTGATCAACAGCACTGCCTCCCCTTCTCGTGAGGAATGAGCAGCACGATGCAGTGCCCTGCTTCCTCCCACTCTGATTTACTAAGGGGACCAGGGGAGAGTAGGGCCTGATGACCAATGAATGTTTAAAGACCAGTTTCTGTGCCTCTCGGGCCATTGAAGACTCTAATCGACACCTGAAGGCATTTTGACTATTCATCTAGAGAAAAATCAAGGGCCCCCGGAGAAAAAGGAGGGGGTGGGGGGCAGGCAAATACAGACAAAGGCAGCACCCTGTCAGTAGAGACTAGTGAAGAAAAGAGGGTTGTTAAACAGGAATGCAAACCTTCACATGAAGATCAGCCCATCCCCTCTTACGGGGTTTTATTGCTCAAATGGAAACCTACTATTTCCCTTTTATCACAGCCTCCCCTTCAATATGGCCACACTCCTAAGTGTTACTTCCAATCCTAGCATGGGGGATGCGTGCATGAGATCCCTACAAGACACATGGGAGGGAAGAGAGCAGGGCCCCCAGCCCTGCCTTACAAGAAGGTATACCTGGCTTCCCAGGGTGCGGCTGGGACCCGTTTCTCCTCCAATACCTCCACTCGGGCTGGCATAGGCCACCCTGCCTCCTTGGAGACTTCTCAAGAAGGATGGGGTCTGTGTTGACTGTGCTGTCCACCATCAGCCTCTGGGGGAGGCTAACCTGCAGATCATTCTCCAAATCCTCTTCGGAGGAAGAGGAAGAAGAAGAAACCCCCAGGGGAGCTTGCACCCCTCCTTCCTCTTCTTTAGGACCCTCTAGGGGCAAACGTGGTGCTGTGGGCTTCAGTTCTACCTCTGGATGTTCTTTGGCCCTGGTTAGAGGCCACCAGGTAGGTCCAGCCAAGGGGCAAGGGCAGAGGCAGCCCTGGCCCAGCAGTTGGCAGCAGGCCTGGGGGACGCAGGGAGGACACAGGAACGGAGTGCCCGGAGAAAGCCCATTGGTGACCCATCCAGCAGCCGGTCCAAGTGGAGAGCAGCAAGGGGCCCAGAGGAGGGCGCCAGCGTGCTCCTTGATTGAAGGCTTGTGCGGCCTCCCCACAGCCTTCTTCCAGACAGGAGGGGGCACCCACCTGACCCCGCCTCTAGGCACACTAGCTGTCTTGCCATTCCAGAAGTGAACAGTAATTTCTCCTTCTTTTGATGCTATGTAACAGAAAGAGCAACATTTTGTTAAAATTACCTCTTCTATATCATGGGACAAGGGTTCTCCTAGCCCCCAAAGCAAACCTCAGTGCAGCCCCCTGCTCCGCCAGCCTCCTGCAGGGCACCTCTCCGTGGAGAGCCTGCCAGGAACATTCCCTCACCGGCTCCCTATTGACTGCCACTTCGCGGGGCACTGGCATGCACCTCCCGGGCTCGATTTTCATGGGGAAAGAGAAGCCTCCTGTCATTCTCGAAATTGCAATGATGCTGACTGCTGGCCCTGCAGAAGGGGACTCTCCCAGTCCGTGGATAACTTGATGCGGGACCAGTCATGAGTACTGGTGTGGCCCCAGTTTAACCTCATCACACCATAGGTTAGCTAACCCACATAGACATAATAGTTTCAGGCTATTTTTGCTCTGATGAAAGGTATTATATAATCTGAAAGATAGGATTCATCTGTCCGTTGCCACATCCAGGATTAAGCTGCAAGTGAGGGGGTAAGGTTTTTTTTTTTTTTTTTGACACCTCTACGACCCTCAGCTTGCCTCTAAGACACTTTTTGCTCTCTCCTACCAGCCTGGCTCCGCCTGGGGACGCTAGGTCGGAGCTGTTTCCCTTACCTCTCTGGGGGTCTCTTGCCTCTGAGGCCAAGAGAATGGTGCCAGGGCCATACCGCTGTTGGTCTGGCTCCCAGGGGGCAAGCACCGTGTCCCCAGGTCGCAGCAAGCATTCCATGGATGGCAAGAACTGAATGACATCATCTTCTAAGACCACATTCTGCCACTGGGCTGGCAGCTTCAGGTCTGTGATGAGGGGAACCTCAAATTCCACAAGCAGGGCGCCCCGTCTCTCCAGCTGTGGATAAGAAAACACAATAAGATCTGGCGTGTGGAAGTATAACAGGGGGCGCCGTGGTTCCCCGCAATGCCCTAGAACCAGACCCAGGGCCTTCTTTACAAACAGTGAGGGCCATCAAGAGAAGGGACAGGGACAGATGCTGTTAGAGCTGATTGTAGCAGAGACAGGCAAGCTGTAGTGTGGATGCTCTTTCCTCTACCTCTTTTTGCCCTCGGCAACTCTTGTGTATCACTTCCTGCCATTCTTTTCCTGTTCGAAGAGAAAGAGGAAGACTCTTCCTGTTTTCCTGTGCTCCTCTATGTATTTGTCCTGCAATTCCCAGGGATAACCTGGGTCCTTTGGATCTTTCTCCAGTGTACTCCCCCTCCTCCCAGCACTTCTGAAAAGTGTTGTCGCTGTGTCCAAGACCAACCAGGGATAGATAGTGTATTCGTCCACAGACCCGCACAGGCAAGGAGGAGCTGTGGCCTAACGTGAGGGCAGCCCTCAGCACCTGCCATTACAGCAATGAGCAGAGGTTCAACAAAGCAAATGAACGTCGTAAAAGAGAGGGCAGGAGAAGTCTTGAAGCTAATTGAAAGTACAAGCTCTTTCGAGAACTCCGTATGACTTGGAAGAGACAGTCTGGTTGCAAATTACTTTAATCACTAGACAGCCTATTATTTGAGCAAAACTCTGCTACTATTTCATTTGTATTCACATACTAGTTCCTTGAAAACGACAAAATGATTTTTGAATGGAAATTCTATAATTCATTTTTTTTGGAATTCACACTAGTCTTCCCTCCATGAATCCACAGTCACAAAGTCTGACTCTGAGAAGAGAAAAACCCCAAAGAAGGAAGCAGCCACGGAAGTAAAGCACAGGCCTGGCTCCCAACATGTGGGGGACCAGGCTTGTGTGTGTACAGGCAGAGACGTGCACGTGGGCATGTTCTGTTTCTCTTTCCCTTAGGCTGGTGCCCATCATTCAACACACTGAATTTTCCTGAACAGAGCACTTTTCACTCTCTTTTCTTCATTGTCACAGGTTCAGTTGTATTCCCTCACCCCAAAATGCATCTGTTAGAATCCTAACCCTTAGTACCTCAGGTTGTGACCTTATTTGGAAATAGGATCATTGCAGACATAAGAAGTTGAGACAAGGTCATGCTAGGCTGATAGGGTGGGTGCCTAATCCAAAGACTGATGTTCCTATAAAAAGGGGAAATGTGGACACAGACATGCACAGAGGGAAGATACTGTGTGAAGGTGGGGCAAAGATTGGGGTGATGTTTCTATAAGCCAAGGAACACCAAAGATGGTCAGCAAGCGCCCGGAAGTTAGTTAGTAAAGGCATGTAGAACAGATTCTCCCTCACAACCCTCAGAAGAACCAACATGCCAACACCTGCACTTCAGTCCCCAGAACTGAGAGACAATACATTTCTGTTCTTTAAGTCACCCCGTTTGTGCTACCCTGCTACACAGCCCTAGCAAACTAATACACTCACCGCCATTGCATTTCCCTTCTAGAACCTGGCCCTGAACGATGTGTGCCTATCCAAGAAACTATCCTACTGGGCACACACAGCTGAGGCATAGCAGTATTGACAGGCCACTCCGAGGAGTGTGCTGGGAGATGTGAAGAACTTGCCTCTGGAGCAGCCTTTATCTGAGCCCGGTAATAAAAGCCATCTGGTCCCCTTCTTGCCAGGACCCATGTGTCAGCAGCATCTCCAACTCTTCCCAACCAGCCAGGCCCCTGCCATGCTGAGTCAGCCATGTGGAGACACGGGTGGTAAGATGCATATCTGGGAAAAAGCAAATGGAATTAGGGAGTGGAGAAGACCAAGCCCTAAAAACATCAAGAAATGCATTTCACAGATCTGAGCAGGACCACAGTGTGCATATGACATAGAAGACTGTGTGGAACAGAAATCCATGTAGCAAGTGGCTGGCGATCTGTCTTACTTCCAGTAAGACAAGATAAACTGCTGGAAGGGGCAGAAGGAGAGGACAGTGAAGGGAACTCTCATTTGGGGATTGAGAATTGCTTCAAGGTCATCAAAATGTGATTAGCTTGGATATAGTCAAGTGAGTTAATGCTGGTCCTGAGACTGAACAGCAGACCAGGAAAGAGCACTGGGGAGGTAAATCCAAAGGCAGTCTGTGGGAATCGAGGATGAGGCATGCACGTTTGGATGGTAGTACCAAAGGAGTAACATGGGAAGGGTGCTTGGTGCTATGGGGTCAGAAGGGAGGAGGACATGTTTGAGCAGGGAAAGCACAGAGGAGCTGGCTAAGGGGCTGAGAGACAGGAAAAAGAAGCTACTCCTGGAGAGGTTTGTGGACAGGACCAAAGCAGGGGTGCAGTGGTGGGGAGGGATTGTTGAGTCAGGGTTTGGGTTTTCTGAAGAAGCTGTTTACTTTGTGGGCAAGCCTGGAGGCAGGGATGCTGAACTCTGGCTTTAAACAAGATGGTCCACAGGGCGCCTGGGTGGCTCAGTCGTTAAGCATCTGCCTTCACCTCAGGTCATGATCCCAGAGTCCTGGGATCGAGCCCCACTTCGGGCTCCCTGCTCCACAGGAGGCCTGCTTCTCCCTCTCCCACTCCCCCTGCTTGTGCTCCCTCTCTCACTGTGTCTCTGTCAAATAAATAAATAATCTTAAAAAAAAAAAAAAGATGATCCACATAGATGAATCTAGAAAGCAGGTTCTTAAGGGTTCAAGCTGGTATGTCCCTAACCTGGGCAGACGGAACTGAGTGGCCTGGACATAAGTGAGTCCCTGGAACTGACACCACATGTGTATGCTTGAGGGCTGAGCTTCCTTTCCCTTCTGCAATCACACTTTAGACAGCCCACCAAGGATTCGGTTCGGGAAAGGCCAGGATCACTGAGGGATACTGAGGAAACCTGAGGAGGTACCCAGAGACCTCGCCTTAGCTGTTGGTTGCAGAAACCCTAATTTCTCACGTGGTGCCAGGGCTAGTCTCATAGTTGGTGGTAAACTGAGCTGGAAGCTCTTTAACTGGTGATACCTGACTGCCTTCTCTTCACATGCCAACTCTGACATCTGCCACCTTTCTACAAGGTGCTACAAGGAGCACAGTTCAGACAGGAGGGATAGAATACCATGAGCAAATCAGAGCCCACACGGTGAAGAACCCTTCCAGCTTCTGCAGGAAGCAAGTTGTCTCCCTCATGGTTCACTGTCGAGAGCCAAGAACGGAAAGGAACAAGAGGGGTGCTCATCACTTCTGCCAGAGGAGCCGAGACTAGTACCTGGAGAGCAAGTTGTGCCAGGTGCTTGGATGGCAAAGGGGCAGGTGAAGGAGAGTCCCCAAGGAGGAGCAGCGCCAGTCCTGGAAGGGGACTTCAGGGTCGTGGCCACACTGCGGTATTTGGGCAAAGCCGTCCCAGGGCCTGCAGAGGATTCCATGGCCTTGGGAGGAGAAACGAGGTGAGAACAAGCACCGCCATTACCCGAGTTGCAGCCCCCAGCCCAGCAGAGGGCACCTGGCTGGTGCAGGGCTCAGTTCCACGGTTAGCAGACCCCACCTGCTCCCACAGCGGCTCAGGCTGTTCTCTGAATCACCTGCCTCGGGAACCTCAGCTGAGGAGATAGGGGAGGGGTTGAAAAAGCAAGTGTTGTGACTTTAGAGAAACCCAGCTTTAAATCCTTCACGGACTGCTAGCTGCGTGCTCATGTCACCACGCACTTCAGTTATGGTGCAGATAACATACTGAAAGCACCTGGCTGATCAGTGGCTCAATATATGTTAGTTTTTTCCTCCTCCCCAGTTGTAAGGACTCCCAGGGTTAAAACAGTACTTCCCCTCACAAATATGGCTGGCCTAACCCTGATAACAAACTGACCCCTAATCTAGGCCACAGACTCCCTTCCTAATCCAGTCACCTCCAGGACTAACTCTAGCCCCAGCTGAGATCCCAGGGTCGTGTCCTCCACAGACCTGTTCAGACGCGCCACCCGGGGCCCAAGATCACACTCCGCTGTCCCAGCCCACCAGAGCTCCTGCCCAAGTCCACAGGTCTGACCCCAAGGGGACTGACCCACAGCCCCAAACTCCTCCGCCTCAGCCTTCTGACAGTTGGGGCTCAGGGCCTCAGCCCGACTGACTGCTGGTTGCCGAGCAGGCTGCCATGGCTGCGAGCCGGCAGGAACGCTGTGGACTGAGTGTACTGAGCATGTGCAGAGAGGTGGCGGGCGCCTTGCGGGGCATGGGCCGGGCAAGCGGGCAGAGGGTTTCTCCGAGGAAACGGGGAGGGGGGCTTTGGAGAGAAAGGTCACCGCAGCCTCAATTCCCCGAAGCTCAGGCTTCCCCACTGCTGGAAGAGGCCCTCGTGAATCCCAGCAGAGTCCTGTGAGGGAGGGCGCTGCCTCTACAGAGACTAAGGGCTATTGATCTGCCTCCATCCCGTGCAGACAGGAGGCTGGGTTAGGTGAGCCATTGGCTGGCTGACGGACTCTAAGATAGAATTTGTCTGTAGTTTAAAGCAAAATAACCAGAGGTGTAGGCATGTTTGTCTGTAACAGACAGGACCCTGCTGAGGAGCAGAAATGTGGCGACCACTTGGGGGGTGATGGGAGTGGACACTGGTGACCAAGGGGACAGAAGTCTGGATTCTGCTCTCATTTGAACATCCATGGGACAGGCTGGTATTTGGAGGCATCTGACAGCCATTGTGTGCCAATTGCGTGCCTGGCACCGTGTTCAGGGGAGAATACCAAAAAAGTATGCAGGGATATTTGTGGGTGTCTCTCTCACACCCGTTCCCCTCTTCCAACACTTCCTGTTTCTGTTGGCAGGTGCACGTGGTTAAAGAGGCTGATTGTACGTCCAGCTCCACAGGTAGAGTGTGTGTCTGTCAGCACACTCCACTCCCTGGCTCCGCTCTGGGGATTGGCAAGGCGTGGGCATGTTCCCCAGGCTCTCCAATCAGAGTAAATCTCAGGACCTGTGTTGAGAATCCTGGGTTATAGACTCTGTCTTTCCTCCTCTACATAAATAAGAAAGTACACGGTTCTAGGAGCCTCTGACTGCCTTCTGGGGACACTGAAGCTATTCCCAGAGAAAGGGATGATAGACCGAAACAAAACAGGTTCTCGGTGACGTTGTTGAGCCCTTCCTGAAGGCAGGCCTAGAGCTAGATGCTTCAGTTGTGTGAACCTTTACTGATTATACAAATTTGGATTGGATTTTTCTCTTACTTGTAACCAAAAGCATCTTAAGTGATGACTGCCCCCCCAGAGCATAATTCTGTAGTTATGTCAGGAGAATGACTGTTGCTAAGGATCACACATGAAAAGGTTCAGTTATTTGGTGCAGAAAGTTAGAGTCCAAGAAAGACCAATGGAGTCTCTGGCAGCAGGAGGAGGATTTCTGAATAAGACAGGTGGGATTTCAGGGCGCCTGGGTGGCTCAGTCGTTAAGCGTCTGCCTTCGGCTCAGGTCAGGATCCCAGGGTCCTGAGATCGAGCCCCACATCGGGCTCTCTGCTCAGCGGGAAGCCTGCTTCTCCCTCTCCCACTCCTCCTGCTTGTGTTCCCTCTCTTGCTTTCTCTCTCTCTAATAAAATATTTTTTAAAAAGGTGGGATTTCAGTGATGGAGGGGAAAAGGAGAACATTCCAGTTTAGAAGGCAAATGCTAAGAGAGAAGGATGCAATTGCAAGATTGCTTTTCTCTTTTGGAGGAAATGGGGTGTCATGAGAAAATCAAGGTGTGACTATTTGAAAGGGGCCAAATCGATGGGAACTTTGAAAACTAAGCAGATAAATGTAAACAACATGGTAGTCAAAAGGAAGATGTCATGGGGTTTGAGCAATGAAATGCTCATGAAATTCTTGAAGAAAAAAACATCAGAATGAGAACGTAGCCAGTTAAGACTAGAGCCCAGGAGGCCAGGAGGAGACTCTTTTTTTTTTAAAAAAAAGATTTTATTTATTTATTCATGAGAGACAGAGGAGGAGAGAGAGAGACAGACAGACAGACAGAAGCAGAGGGAGAAGCAGGCTCCCAAGGAGCAGGGAGCCCGATGTGGGACTCAATCCCAGAACCCCGGGATCATGACCTGAGCCGAAGGCAGACGCTTAATCATCTGAGCCACCCAGGCGCCCCAGAAGGAGACTCTTAACAGTGACCCAGATAAAACGGGACAGGATTGGAATAGGAAAATAGTGACAGCAAATATTTACCCACAACATCTGCCTGATTTGAGGCTCTCTGCTGGGTGCGAGGAATATAGGAGGAATAAGACTGGTCCCTATCTACTGAAGAGATAAGTGGGTGATACAGTATGTAAAGATAGTAGGGTAGGATCTGTGAGGAAATATGTGTACAAAATAAAGGAACAAGTAATGGCGGGAATGGGAAGACTTCACAGAGATGACGGTGGAGGTGAATGTGCCAGTGTATGGCACATTCTGACTGGGCTTGGCGACAGATGGGACCTGGGAGTTAAGGGAGAAGGAAGAGCTGAAACTAGTCATGGCAATGGAAATAGCGACATTTTGAAGGCAGACTCCAAGATATGGGGCAGTGACTGTATTTCCCGGTGGGGAAGGACAGGTGTGGCCCCTGTCCATTTTCTGGCCAGGAGAACCTGTAGAATGGTGATGCTATGGACAATACAATAATAATAATAATAATAATAATGGTTAGGAATACTTATGTGTCAGGCATTGTTAATTCTCCTAATAAACATATGGGGGAATAGTTGCTGTTGGTATTATTCTCATTCTGTGGATGACGAACTTAGACACGAAGAGGAGGGAGCCGATTCATAGTTTAAACTGAGGCAGTTGGATTCCAGAGACTGCACAGCCTTCTTAACCCCTACATTAAGCTGCCTGAGGAAGTCTTCTGCATGCAGGAAAAAGATGACTCCAAAATAATTTCAGATGACAACAAGATTTTGTTAGCTACCTTTGCTTCAGCCCTGGGACACTTTCCCATCATGACGTGGGTAAGGTATAGATGTAGAGATTTCCTGTCAACCCCAAATTATAATAATAAGAACTACCAGACTTTGACAAACAAGGGAGTTTCATTGTGATCGCTTAGCATGAAGTGTTTGCAAAGGGCTTAACAAGCATTGATTACTCATTGGTCAGACTTTACAATACTTTCAGAGTGTTTCTTACAGCTGAGACTCTGGTCAAGTGTGGGAGAAGGGCAAGGTGAGGGGTATAGAGAATCCTGGGGACGTCTGCTCCTCTAAAGTTTTTGAAAGAAATCACCAAAGCTTAAGACGCATCTTCTCAATCCCCATAGGATCATGTTTAGTACATTTGAAACCCTGGTAGGAAATACCCAGCACAAGTGGACATTTGAGCTGTTATCACCCTATGCAGAAATTACGTTTAGGAAAAACTGTTGAATGCTGCTATAAGAGACTCCGTTTTGTGAAATTGTTTGTTTCTATTCAGAAACACTGACTCAAATGATTCTAAAAATGGGGTCAGTGTGGCGGCTGGTGGCTGCCATTATGGAGGAAACTTTCCCAGGGCTATTCTTGGCCTCCGCCTTATCAGGGTACAGAAGAGACTGCAGATAATTAATATACTTGATGGCAGCTCTGAGGGTTTCCACTTTGCTGAGTCGTTTCTCCAAGTACTCCTCTGGCAGATGATGTCGGAGCTGGGCGTAGCCTTCATTGACACACTTCACCCGCTGCCTTTCCCGCTCATTTCTTTTGCGGATAAAGGCCGTCCCATAGGAGTATTCACACCTTCTGTAATTTGGATAAGGCATTGGGAAGGAGAAGGGGCAGGGTTCACCATAATTTTCCATGAATAGGGAATCGCTGGGAAAGGGCAGCAATGGCAGGTCTTCAGAGTAAGGGGACGACACCGGGGCATCAGGGTACAGGTGGAAAGTGACCATGGGGTCCAGATAGAAGGACCTGGTCAGTGGCAAGTGGACAGAATCAGAGAAGGTAGGCAGCTTTTCTGGCAGATTAGAGTAGCTTCGATTGTCCATCGTTTCCTCTTTAGCCTGGAAACATAACCAAGTTTATCAATTTAGCCAGATCAAAAGAGCAGATACCATTCACTTTCTCAGAGATCAATGTTTTAAAGCTTTCTCTGCTTTGATGGATAGTTTCTGAGCTCATTCTGAAAATGATACGGGGTTACAATACTCTGTGGGGAGTAAGAGAGAGGATCTTTTTGGTGGTACAGAGGAAGAGCAATAAATAACAACTCATTTTGTGAGAGAGTTATCCCCTTTCAACACTTTGAATCCTGATGATTACAAAGATACAGCTTTAGTCATGGAAGAATGTGTCTTCCACACTCCTAGAATGCTTTCTTTCTTTTTTTTTTTAAAGATATTTTTTATTTATTTATTTGACAGAGAGGCAGAGAGCACAGGTAGGCGGAGGGGCAGGCAGAGGGAAAGGGAGAAGCAGGCTTTCTGCTGAGCAGGGAGCCCGATGCGGGGCTCGATCCCAGGATCCTGGGATCATGACCTGAGCCGAAGGCAGTCGCTTAACGACTGAGCCACCCTGGCGCCCCCCTAGAATGCTTTCTGATCCTCCTCAGATGGAAGTCTCCAACAAATGATACTATCTAGCTAGAATTTAATAATGGTTTGCTGTTGATTTCTATTAATTGTGAATTACACTGATTTCACACTTAGGGCAGTGATACAGAATTTCTTTTAAAAATACATCTACCTGGGGTGCCTGGGTGGCTCAGTTGGTTAAGCGACTGCCTTTGGCTCAGGTCATGATTCTGGAGTCCCGGGATCGAGTCCCACACTGGGCTCCCTGCTCAGCAGGGAGTCTGCTTCTCCCTCTGACCCTCTTCCCTCTCGTGCTCTCTATCTCTCATTCTCTCTCTCAAATAAATAAATAAAATCTTTTAAAAAAAGAGTTAACATTTAAAAAAAATTAAATAAAAACATAAAAAATAAATAAAAATACATCTACTTGAGTAAAACATGTCCCTTGAAGAAAAATAGTAAGTGAATAACAGTACAAGTGGAACACAGATAATGAAGACCATGAAGGTGCATGCAAATAATTAAAGTTTGGGAAACACTGAAATACCACAATATTCAAATACATGTTGGAGCCCTTACAAAGGAGTTAATGATCATGCAACCTCATGGGTATAGTCTTCTTAAATAATACCTGATATGCCAGGGGCAAAACCAAAAATAAAAATAAGAAAGGAATCTTTTGCTCTTAAAAATTCACTTTAAGATCCTTTAAATAAGAAATTCCCCAAATAAATTTAAAACATAGTCAATTTATATATTTTACTTACTCAGAAGTTTAAATATATTGAATGAAGTGCATCTGTATTTAGGTTTTTTTTTTTTTTCCATGGAACATAAGGATAAGGCATGACACTCCAAGAGGTCTCAGACCCAGACAGTCCTTTTTTCTGAATAGGTCTTCATGAACCTCATTGACTAAACCACCATTACTTTTTGCCTTTGACTATAAAAATAAAACTACAACAGATCTTACAGGGATATTGCAGTTTAACCAGTTAGCTAGGAGGCAGGGTAGTGCTGTAGGAAAAGAGCATTTTTCTTTCAGTTATAACACCCTTGAGTTTCAATCTTGGCTTTGCCCCTTCCTAGCTGTGTGTCCTTAGGCAAGTTACTTAGCCTTTCTGAGCTTCATCTTTTTCCTATGATCAATTGAGGTATTAACTATTCTGCAGGGTGGTTGTGAGGATCAAATGGAAAAAAAATACCTAATGTACAGGCGTGAGTTCTTTTCCTCTTTCCTTTCTTTACAGATGAATACTTGTGCAGTGTCCCTTTCTAAGTTGCACCTTCCAGAAAAACCTGGCTTATATTTTCCCTCACACTGGAAAATCAAACATCAATGTATCCGAAACCTATTTGTTGAGAGAGGACCATACCTAAAATGGAAAAGCAACATGAAATCCACCTGTGGGCCTTCAGAAAAGAGCAAATATGACTTTCTGTTCATTCTTCAGGGTGTGATTTTTCAACATTTTTAAGACTGAGGGCTTGACCTCTATGCTTGGCATGTGTAGAGAAAAAGAGGCCACCCTCCTCCCCACAACCGTGTTTGTAAGCAAGATCAGGTAACATTGTCCCTCGCTTCTCTGCCTGAGCATAACAACAACCTGCAGCCCACACCATGTAATGGGTGGAGCAACCTCTAAGCACCAGGATTCAAGTGCGATGAAGGGTATTACTTTATTTTTTTTTAAAGAGTTTATTTATTTGAGAGAGAGAGAGAATGAGAGATAGAGAGCACGAGAGGGAGGAGGGTCAGAGGGAGAAGCAGACTCCCTGCTGAGCAGGGAGCCCGACTGGGGACTCGATCCCGGGACTCCAGGATCATGACCTGAGCCGAAGGCAGTCGCTCAACCAACTGAGCCACCCAGGCGCCCCGAAGGGTATTACTTTAAAGGAAAGTGTGAAAAAGCCTATCCTATCTAGTATGGCTGCTGAAAGACAAAAATGACTATGGAATCAGGAATGGCAGTATGCAAAGGGGGGTAGGGGATGAGGGTGGGGATGGTGGGAGGTGGAGAGTGCTGTAAGGAGTCATGGTGAACAACCTGGAAGGGAGTAAATAAATACCAGGGAATGCTCTTCCTAATAGGGGACTGGCGGGAGGAGGAGGAGATAAATGTGAAAGGTGCAATTAAAACTCAAAACAGGGGCGCCTGGGTGGCTCAGTCAGTTAAGCGTCTGCCTTCCGCTCAGGTCATGGTCCCAGGGTCCTGGGGTCGAGCCCCGCATCGGGCTCCCTGCTCGGCGGGAAGCCTGCTTCTCCCTCTCCCACCCCCCCTGCTTGTGTTCCCTCTCTCGCTGGGTCTCTCTCTGTCAAATAAATAAATCTTAAAAAAAAAAAAGATCAAAACAAAGGAAAAAGAAATGAAAGATTCCAAATTACTGACCAAATGGCCTAAAATAATTAACTTAAAACAAAAATCTCTGAAAGATTAAAAACTAGCCAAGATTCTGTCAAAAATAAAAAGTTGCTGAGAGAAGAGTTAGGAAATTCCCAAGGCAGGAATTCCAGAGGGCAAGAGATCAAGAATAACTATGGCAGAAGCTACAAAATGATGGCACAATGGGCATGGAGCCTGTATTTCTACATTACTGAGAACAGCAGAGCCTTATTTCTGCCTATGGCTAACAAGCCAGACCTGGCACAACACAGTATCAAAATGCAAAGCAGATGCCAGCAAAGCCAATCACACGCAAGAATTCTTCAGGTATGGTTTTATCCTGACAGATCATTTTAATGTCTTAAACCTTGACCCAGATGAAATCTGAGTCATTCATATATGCCACTTAACAGTTTCTGGGCTTTAAGTAGACTACGCATAATTCTTGGGAAAAAAAGCTTAGTGTCTCTGTAGACACACTGATGAGAAGCTTTTTTTATTGAGCATTTCCCAAAAGTTCACCAATCAGTGTAGTAGCATTTAAATATGATCATCTTTTATTCAAAGAAAATTTAATCACAGCACAACAGAGTGATAGAATGAAAAATACATAAAGAAGAGGATCAAGGGGCGCCTGGGTGGCTCAGCCGTTAAGCATCTGCCTTTGGCTCCGTTCATGATCCCAGGGTCCTGGGATCAAGCCCCGCATCAGGCTCCCTGCTCAGCGGGAAGCCTGCTTATGTTCCTGCTCTCACTGTCTCTCTCTGTCAAATAAATAAATAAAAATCTTTTTAAAAAAAAAGAAGAGGATCAAGATAGGAAGCCTAGTGGAGGATGGCAGTGTTTGTAGAAATTGAATACAAGTTTTTAAAAGAAACCAACACAGACTATTGGTGCTGGGGCTTTGCAGCTCCAGATACATGCACAGCTAACAAATGCACCTATCTTGAGAAAATCTCAGATTTCTCTCTTCTGGGAAAGAAATGATGAGGTCTTAATGATAAAATCCTAAGATTCCAGTAGCAGTGCTGAGCGTAAGAACTTCAACTTTTCAAAGATATTAAAAATACCTAGCATGTAAAAAACACAAAGCTACAACTGCACATATAATTACTTTATGGAATGTTAGGGATGGCAGGAATCTTAGAAATCTTCTTATCCAATCCCTCATACGTTGTGAGTTGGCTAAGCTTGCAGAGCTGGTAACAGAGCAGGGGTCAGAACCTAGGACTCCCGGTTTCCAAACAAAATGCCTCCCACTCTTCCAGATGATTTAATCACCAGCAAAATCTGGACGTTTAACATGTGGGCATGGTTGACAGTTAACGACAATGGAATAATCAGCTGACAAAATTCATCATTTATCAACTGTGCCCGGGAATTTTCTTAAAGGCCATGTACCTATTCTCCCCCAGTGGGCTACTCTGAAGAAGTCTCTTACCTGTTTTGTCGCTAAGATGCTGTATTTTGGGCTGTGTCAGACTTAACATGATTTATAGGTGATCATTTAGTAACTATATGCAAAGTAGCTTACAGTTAAACAGAACTGCTTAGTTCTGGTTTAGCTATTTTTTTCTACCTAATATGTAGATATGAAACACATAACAATACTAAGTAGAAAGGTTTGCTTACAAAACTAGACTCTTGTAACAAATTCTTTTGTAAAAAGAATTCCTCCCCATTCACCTGGTTTATATGATTTTCTATCAAAATTATTTATGGAAAATATCTGTAATAGTCTCATAATGTTGATCAATTCTTTTAAATAGAGATTAAGGCCATAACCAGGAAGGTCAATATGAACCTAAATTTTATTACAATACCTTTTAAATTTATTTTCCTCTATTTAGACTTGACTTTTTAGAGTAATTTTAGATGCACAGCAAAATGAAGCAGAAAGTACAAAGAGATCCCATATACCCCTTCCCCTACACATGCATGTCCTCCCCCACTACCAACATCTCCCCCCAGTAATATATTTTTGCAATTGATGAACCAATATTGACACATCATCACTCAAAGTCCATAGTTTACCTTAGGGTTCACTCTGTGTTATACATTCTGTGAGCTTTAACAAATGTATGACAACATGTATCCAGCATCATAGTATCATACAGAACAGTTTTACTATTCTAAAAAGCCTCTGTGCTCCACCCTTTCATCCCTCCCTGCCCCCAATACATGACAACCAGATTTTTTTTTTTTACCACCTCCATAGTTTTGCCTTTTCCAGAATGTCATATAGTTGGAATCACACAGTATGTAGCCTTTTCAGATTGGCTTCTTGCACTCAGTAATATGCATTTAAAGTTCCTCCACATATTTTTATGGCTTGATAACTCATTTATTTTTAGTGGTGAATAATATTCCACTGTCTGGATGTATCAGAGTTTATTTACCCATTCACCTCCTGAAAGACATCTTGGTTGCTTCCAAGTTTTGGCAATTATGGATAAAGCTGCTATAATCATCCATGTGCGGACATAAGATTTCAACTTATTTAGGTAAATACCGAGGAGTGTGACTACTGGATCATATAAGTTCATGTTAGTTTTGTTGAGAAACTCCCAGATTTTTTTTCCAAAGTGGCTGTACCATTTTGCATTCCCACCAGCAATGAATGAGAGTTCCTGTCCGCTCCACATCCACACCAGCGTTTGGTGTTGTCAGTGCTCTGGATTTTGGCTCTTCTAATAGGTGTGTGGTAGTATCTCATTGTTGTTTTAATTTGTATGTCCCTAAGGACATGTGGTGGAATGTCTTTTCATATGCTTATTTTCCATCTGTATATCTTCTTTGGTGAGATGTCTGTTCAGGTGTTTGGCCCATTTATAATCAGGTTGTCTTATTATTGAGTTTTAAGAGTTCTTGGTATATTTTGGATAATAGAACTTTATCAGATATGTCTTTTGCAAATATTTTCTCCCAGTCTGTGGCTTGTCTTCTCATTTTTTTGGCATTGTCTTTCACAGAGTACAAGTTTTTAATTGTAATGAACTCCAACTTGCCACTATTCCTTTCTTTCATGATTCGTGTTTTTTGTCTTTTATCTAAAAAGTTATCACCGAACCGAAGGTCATCTAGATTTCTCCTATGTTATCTTCTAGGAGTTTTAGTTTTATGTTTTACATTTAGGTCTATGATCCATTTTGAGTTAATTTTTTGAAGAGTGTAAGGTCTGTGTCTTGCTTTTTTTTTTTTTTTTTTTGCATGTTGATGTATAGTTGTTCCAGCACCATTTGTTGAAAATGCTTTTCTAGGGACACCTGGATGGCTCAGTCAGTTATGTGTCTGCCTTCGGCTCAGGTCATGATCCCAGTGTCCTGGGATCGAGTCCCACATTGGGCTCCCTGTTCAGCGGGGAGTCTGCTTCTCCCTCTGCCTTTGCCTCTCCCCCCTGCTTGTTCTCTCAAATAAAATAAAATCTAAAAAAAAGAAAGAAAATGCTTTTCTCCATTGTATTGCCTTTGTTCCTTTGTCAAAAATCAGTTGGCTACATTTGTGTGGGTCTATTTCTGGGCTCTCTGTTCTGTTTATCTGTCTATTCTTTGGTCAATACCACACTGACACTGACTTGATTACTGTAGTTTTATAGTAAGTCTTGGAGTGAAATAGTGTCAATCCTCCAACTTTGTTCTTTTCCATTATTGTGTCAGCTTTCCTGGGTCTTTTGCCTCATCATATAAGCTTCAGCATCAGTTTGTTGATATCCACAAGATAACTTGCTGAGATTTTTGGCAGGGATTGTGTTGAATCTATAGATCATTAGGAAGAACTGATATCTTGTTAATGAGCCGTCCTATCCATGGATATGGAATATCTCTCCATTTATTTAGTTCTTTGATTTCTTTCATCAGTTTTGTAGTTTTCCTAATGTGTATTTTGTTAGATTTATACCTATTTCATTCTGGGGACTGCTAACGTAAAAGGTATTGTGTTTTTAATTTCACTTGTTCATTGATAGTATATGGGAAAGCAATTGACCCATGTATATTAACCTTCCATCTTGCAACCTTTGTATAACTACTTTAATTAGTTCCAGGAGTTTTAGGGTTTTGTCAATTCTTTTGGATTTTCTACATAGACTATCATGTCATCTGTAAACAAAGACAGTTTTATTTCTTCCTTCCCAATCTGTATACCTTTTATTTCCTTTTATTATTGCCTTAGCTAAAACTTGCCGTATGATGTTGAAAAGGAAGTGATGAGAGAGGGTATCCTTGCCTTGTTCCTCATCTTAACAGGAAAGCTTCTGTTTCCATTAAGTATGATGTTAGCTGTAGGTTTCTGTAGATGTTCTTTATAAAGTTGAAGGATTTCTCCTCTATTCCTAGTTTACTTTCTTTTTTTTTTAAACATAAATGGGTGTTGGATTGTGTCAAATACTTTTTCTGCATTAATAGGATCATATCATTTATCTTCTTTATCCCGTTGCTGTGATAGATTTTATTAATTGATTTTTGAATGTTCAATCAGCCTTGCATACCTGAGATAAATTCCGCTTGGTTGCAGTTGAACTTACTTACATCTTTTAATACTAACAATAAAATCAATAATTTTAGGTTAGGTTTGTAGGTTTAAAAAATTATTTTTTACTAACCAAAAAAGCTATTAAGAACTCCTAAAACCTCAACCTTATTAATTTAATGTAATTTAAATCTAATTTCTGCCAAGAATTTCTTTGAACAAGCCCTCCTTCATGCATTTTATTTTTCTCTTCATGAATTTTAATCTCTCAATTTGTCAAAATAATATTTGTATACTTTCAGAGCCCCATCTAAGTACCATACATTTTTCTCCCTTCTTCTCCACACACACATGCACACACAGATAATTGAGTACCAATATTTTATGATGAACCACTGTTATAAAAGAGTAGTCTCATAACGGGACCAAATGTCTTTGTATCTTCGAGTTTATTATACAGCAAAAGAAGGAGGAGAGAAACACTGGTGTTTTAAAAATTATTTTTATTGTTACATTCCAAAGAGGACATAGGAGGAAAAAAGCCAGTTATCCAATAACTGTTATACCTTTCAGAGGGAGGCACCCAGCAAGGAACTCCAGTCTTAGTTCAAAGCTGCACACACTAGAGCTCAAACAGCTGCCTCTCCACCTGACCAGAAATGTGGAAAATGTGTGTATGTCACCAATCCAGAGATGCTTGGGGTTAAAAGAAAATTCCTTTTTTTCAAGTGTCCAAGTTCTTAGGATTCATCCTTAAAGATACTAGAAGATGAGAAAGACCACACACACCAGACTATGTTTAGTCATTAGAGTAAACTAGCAAATTGCTAGTTTGTCCTAGGATGCATTGCATCAGACATCACAGTACATGAGGAAAATCTGCATTTTATGAAGAGCCACCAGGTAGTTCAGATCCACTTTACCATAAGTGCAGCCACAGGCCAACCAGATACCTAGATAATATAGTCAGTGCAAAATTCAAATGGGTAAGTCAGGGCTTTGATGAGGCTGGCTACACTGCAAAATATAAATGAAACTTGAAAATAGAATGTTAAGTCTATTTACAAAAGTTTGTTTAGTAAAGTGACTTGAGAAAAGTTATGTTAACCACTTCCCACACATCCCTCCCCTCCCCTGCCAGAAAGAAAGAAAAGAAAAGAAAAGAAAAAAAGAAAGAAAGAAAGAAAGAAAGAAAGAAAGAAAGAAAGAAAGAAAGAGAAAAGAAAGAGAAAAGAAAAAGAAAAAGAAAAAGAAAAAGAAAAAGGGAAAGGGAAAGGGAAAGGGAAAGGGAAAGGGAAAGGGAAAGGGAAAGGGAAAGGGAAAGGGAA